GGTAATTCAGATCCCAGTGGCCGAGATCGTGGTGGGAGACATCGCGCAGATCAAGTACGGTGAGTGGAGGTGGTGGCAGCTGGGGTCTGGGTGTCCCAGATTATGCCACAGCCATAATCTCCCTGGGCCTGTCCTTCTACCACCCTCCGGGTGGGGACAATGAATGTGAGTCCCTGGGGTCCCCATGGCATGGTGGGGTGCTCGGTGGAGCGCCCACGTGTGGGGGCAGGCCTTTAGGACAGGTACTGTCTCTAGAAGGTCACCCTGTGGGTCCCTCCACCTCGGCAGCCTTGGCGCGGTTCCTCCTCTCTGCTTTGGCAGCCCTTTTGCCTTGAGGGGGAAGCGTGGCTCCTCCAGTTACCCCATTTTGCAGCATGCCATGGCCAGGAGCAATGGGAGGGGTGCTTCCCTGACCTTGCTGCTTGCTACCCTGGAGCTTGGCTGGCAGAGCTAAGCCAGGCTCTGCACGCAGCTTTGGGTTGCTTTAGCGACCTGCTGGTCTCAAAAACGCTTCATTTGCACAACCGTGTCCTTGCTGGTGGACATCTCCTTAGCAAGGAGGAACATAGAATCATAGAATCATTTAGGTTGGAAAAGACCTTTAAGATCATCAAGTCCAACCATTACCCTGACACTGCCAAGTCCACCACTAAACCATGTCCCTAAGCTCCACATCTACATGTCTTTTAAATACCTCCTTAGCCCAAGGGATACATCTCCTTGCTAAACTAGGTCCTGCTCCTTGTTTACCAGGGGGGATGCTCATCCCATGCAGCTCCCATTCGGAAGGAGATCGGTCTGACACTGTGTTCATTTTCACACTGGGCTTTCTCCTTCCTCAGTGGGTGGGTGATGGGATTGTGTAACAGTTTGGATGTATCGGGCAGATTTGGGAAGGATGCGGTGTTGATTCAGTAAAACCGGATGGGGGAAGCGCTGTCTGATTGAACAAATGTCCTCACAACGAACGCTTTTGTACACCAGTGAAGATTTTGGAGCTATAGGATATCATCTTATAATACCATCTGTCTTATGATACCCATCTGTTGCTTCTCCTCCCTCTAGATTTGGTCTGAGACTGAATTTTGAGTCCTTTTGGTGGCACACGAAGCTTCCTCCTGGGATGGGGCAGGCAGGGGTGAGCTGTGGCTGCTGGGCTGGGGCTGATCCCTCTCTCTGCTCCTCTCCTAGGTGATCTCTTGCCAGCAGATGGGATCTTGATCCAGGGCAATGACCTGAAAATAGATGAGAGCTCGCTGACCGGGGAGTCAGACCAAGTCAAGAAATCGCTGGATAAAGACCCCATGCTGCTGTCAGGTGCGGATCCTGGGCAGCTCTTGCGTGGTCGGTGCAGGGCCGGGCTGGGTTTGTGTCCCAAGTCCTGTGTCCCGCTGTCGGGGAGTAGATGGGAATGGCGTGCCAGTGTCCTGTCTGACCATGACCTTCCTGCTGTGCCAGGTACCCATGTGATGGAGGGCTCCGGCAGGATGGTGGTGACTGCCGTGGGTATCAACTCCCAGACGGGAATCATCTTCACTCTCTTGGGTGCGGGAGAAGGAGACGAGGAAAAGAAGGTGAAGAAAGGTAAGGAGATCCCTTGAAACTGCTTTTTCCCTCCTTTTGCCTTCCTCCCTTTCCTGGGAAGCATCCACTGGTGTGCAACAAGCTATGCCCACATCCGTGGGACGCGGTTGTGTGTTAGTGCCTGTGACCCTGGCAGGTACGGTGAGATCTCGAGGTGGCGGGGAGGGGGGGGAATCCCTCCCTGCTGCCCCTCTGCCCGCAGCGTGGGGATCATGCTGCCTGAGGAAAGCCCCCCGTGCACCCAGACCTCCGCTCGCCAGCTCTTTCGGACACGGCTCCAACTCTCTCTTCTCCAGCCAGCTGCAGCC